CCCTTGAACCCTTTCATCTCAGACACTTTCATATCCAAAATTGTTCTCTGTGGCTATTTTTTCCATACGGGAGAAAATGTAAGGGGCGTACAGATAACCTAAGGGTGCTGCTGCTTGTATCAAATCAACAAATATCAAGTGACACCCAAGAGCTGGTAGGCTTCTACTTACTCATATAAAGGAGTCAACTATTTTGTCTTAGTTGCTCTCAGTTTTCTAATTCAAGATATTTTACTTCCTGGATGAATTAGAGTGGCATAACCCAGCCTGCTGCAGGGATCAAAAAGCTGAAAAGTCTTTCCGCACCACTCAGATGTAAATTCCTGCCTTCATTGGTTCCCACCTCATGCTGTTTACTGCTTTACCTTTCTGACATCTCTGCTTGTTTCCTTGCTTGAGTGCCTTCCCGCCAGCCTTGGCTATAGACCATGAGCTCTCACTGTACCTTTGGGGGGGAAAAAACAATAGTAGGCTGTGAAGGTTTGAAAATACTGCAGAGTTTATAGGGGATGGGAATCAACTTACAAATTTGCGGTTCACTCTTTGTTAACTTCAACAGGCAACAATAATTATTTACCTCTTTCAAGATTTGTGTGTCCTACTTGCCCCATGCTTGTATTGATTTGAAAATTAAATTAATTTTATGACTGTAATTTTAAAAGGTCTTATAATACAGTTTAGTTGTATCCTCATCAGCTAACAAAAACTGGCTTCTCCCAGCCAGCCATGTGTTTGTTCTTCAAAGAAACTAGGATGTTTTTTGCTACAACATGCTGAATTTTCAACAGATAACACAACATTCCATGGTTTCTGGTGTCATGATCTAGTCTTCTTTTGGGGAAGAGGTGTTTATTACTTTTTAAAATGTATACCATATGCACGCAAAATTCAGGATTCCCCAAACTTGATAAAGCTTCTTGCTTTTCAGTGCTTTACCTCTATTTCATGCTTTATTTCTATTTCTACAGACAAATTGGTCTGCTTTTAAAGATTGACACACTACTAGTTTGTGTGTGTATGTCAGGAGTGACTTGAAAAACTGCAAGTCACTTCTGATGTGAGAGAATTGGGCATCTGCAAGGACGCTGCCCAAAGAACGCCTGAATGTTTGATGTTTTACTATAGTTGCGGTAGGCTTTTCCCATGTCCCCGCAAGGGAAGCTGGAGCTGACAGAGGGAGCTCAACCTGCTCTCCCTGAATTCAAACTGCTGACCTATCGGTCAGTGGTTCTGCCGGCACAAGGGTTTAACCCATTCCACCACCAGGGGCTACTAGTAGTTAGTTACATTTAAACCCAAAGTTTATCCATAGAGCTTAGAGCTCAACTTGGCATTCTCGTTTTGTGCTTGATCTTCCCGATAGCTCTTTGGTGTAGGCCAGGGTGAGAGAGAACAAGTGGCCTAAAATCATCCAGTCAGTTTCATCCATTAGATCCTGGATTTCTCAAACATTAATCCTATCACATTGATTCTAAATGTAATGAATGATAGAGACTAACTTCCTGCATTCCTCATTGGGTTGGCTTGAGGGAGATATTTTCCCAATTTTGCTGCTTTTTTTAAAAAAAATCTTAATTTATGTATGCAAATTTCAGGGTTCCCCAAGTAAATTATCATTCCTCATATTCCAAAGCAGCCCAGCTTTGGATCAATTTCTTTTGATGTCTCTTTCAGAAATAATAATATGTGCTGACTTGTTTGTCGGTAGTGTTTTTTCTCCCAGTACTTGCTTTAAAAATGAAAACTGAACTTCTTTCTGAGCTGAGGAATATCTGGAACCTATGTTATATGGATTACAAAATACTTATATACCCAGCTATGGCAACGGAAATGTGGAAAGGCAGGGAGTTTCTATCACCAATAACTAGATGTCTAAACAAGGCTGGGATCAGATTTATGTGGAGTTTCCCTGCCACTCCACTATTTTATAAAGATGGAAAAAACACACAGTTATAACTTTGGGAGAAGGCATCAAATTGCTCAAACAGTTTGATCTTTACCAAGACATGGCTGAAGATAAGGCATTTGGCAGAGAGCCAGAAGATGGAGGCCAGGAGTCAAAGGACAAGCCACGAGAGGAGAGGAAGGAAGGAGAAGAGTCAGGGAGTAAAAAAAGACAAAATTCTGAGAAGAAAGATAATCAACAATGCATGCCAACTAGAAGCACAGACAAACAGCCATAATTAACAAAAGGGAGAACTTGTTATCCAGTAATTGTTGTTTAATATGAAAAATGTGAATAAGTACAAGTAATAATCCACAATGGGGGGTGTCTTTGTATGCTTTATAAGAGTTGCCTCTGAGACAAGTTAAAAGATGGGAGGACACTGTCCTTGAGCCTGGGACAAGGGATCAGCAACTGTTGTACTAAAATAATTAGGGCGGGAGGGTAGGGGAGACACCGGCCCTGAACAATCTGTCTGGAAGATGGCAGGAAGTAGCTTCTTTGCCATTCCTCCCATGAGTAGCAGGGAGGAATTGTTCTATAGGTTTTCTTCTTTATATTCAGCCAGTACAAATTTGTCCTTTTGATGCACTTTATCTCGTCCCTCAGTGACGTTTAACCCTTCTGTCTGTCCCATCTGAGTCTCCCACTAGATATACTACTCAATTTATCTATCTCGCCCAGGGGTTTTATAATTTTATCCCTTGCATTTGGCCCAGTCCACTGTGTTTAATTATTTTACCATATATTTTGTGTTTATTCTATTGTATTATTTTGCAATTGTTGCACTATATTTGATGTTATTATCTGTTGTATGTATTTTATTTTGCCTTATTCTAATTTCTTGGGCTTGGCCTCATGTTAGCCACCCTGAGCCCCCTTGGGGAGATGGTGGCAGGGTATAAATAAAGATGATGATGATGATGATGATGATGATGATGATTATTAAGCCTTTTGCTTGATAGATCTGTTTAGCCCAGTTTTCAAAATTCCAATATTAAATGTTCCATGGTTTTGCTTGCAAGTATACATACTTCTGCAATAAACCTTAACATTTTGCCAACTAGAATTTTGTCTTAATAGTTACAAAATTTAAACCAGTTCAAGGATAAACTCCACACATGTATATAAATCCTGATTTCCTCTCCTTGCATGCACTGATGTAGTATCTTTCTCTTTCTGCATGAGAGGAGTAATCATTTAGCCCTCATTCTGCCTCACCTGTCAGAAATTATATGGGCTCCGGGTGAGGTTTTTGCAGTATTGAGTCAAATGATTAGTTGTTCTGAGCCATCCTGATCTAAATCAATCCAGACAAAGAGATATGTAGAGATTCTTTACCCAGTCCCCCAACCTATTCAGTTATGTTCAGGAAAGATAAAGCTTGTCAGGAAAAATACCCAGGAGGGGCATATCTTGAGAAAAAAAGAGAAGTAGGAAAATGGTAGAATTCTACTGGAATTTAAGAGCTTTGATACCGTGGCCATGGAAAGGTGTGCAATAAAATCTCTTACCCTCTTTCTGCCTATTATTCATTTCTGATTCTCATTTTTGCCTATTTGGATATATTCTGCCTTGTCTTTCAAATATTATTCAAGCAGTGTATAACCATTACAATATCTTGATGAAACAGCAGTGCAAACAACATAAAACAGAGACAGATTCAGCATATAGAAATAGAAATCTGTCCCCTACAGCATCTTCCTGGGGAGGGGAAAGCCTTCCAGATTTAAACATTTAGGAATAGCACGAATCTACATGAGACAGCAAGAGAGGGAGAGGACCAACTATACTTTGTGGGAATATGGTTTTCTCAAGTTAACTGACACTGAAAATACCTTTTCTCTTGTGCCTATTAAACAAATGTTTTCCATCACCAGAGTCTCGCCTCTCCAAATTGCAAATCCCACAATTCCATACGATGTTGCAGTTAAAGTGGAGTCATGGTGCTATAAATGTGTCATATGAAAACACCCCCAGCCATTGCTTTTATTAAGGGCTCACAATTAGTTGCTAACCATTATAACTGCTAGATACAAACTGCTATATACTGCTACTCAGAAGGAAACCTGAAGCCCCTTCCACACAGCTGAATAAAATCCCACATTATCTGCTCTGAACTGGGATATATGGCAGTGTGGACTCAGATAACCCAATTCAAAGCAGATATTGTGTGATTTTTCTGCATTGATATTCTGGATTATATGGCTGTGTGGAAGGGCCCTCATTTATTTAAACAAGATAGGAGTATTCATTTGTTTCAATATAAAAAGGATAGAGACTTTGCAACTTCAAAGATAAATAAGGTTTTTTTTTCCACCATAGCTTTCATGAATTCCAGCCTATTTTTCTGATGACACAGAAAAAGTAGATTGTAGTTTATGAAATCTTATGTAAACGGATGAGGATTGGAATGAGAGGATATAGTTCTTTTTAAATTGTTATTGCACTTTTTGGTCTAAATGCACTTAATTGTTTTTGCTTTTTGAATTGATGGCATCGAATTGTGCCGATATGTAGACTGCCCTGAGTCGCCTGTGGGCTGATATGGGCGGGATATAAATAATGTAAATAAAAAAATAAAAAATAAAAAATTAAGACCAACACCAACGGCCACTCTGGGGCCAGAATTGTTTTTATACTATGTCTTGAATTTTGTTGTTCCTATGTTGTACACCACTGTGAGTCGCCCCTGGGCTGAGAACAGCGGTATATAAGCAAAGTAAATAAATAAATAAATAAATAAGATAAATTGATTTATCGAAAGGCATCTTAAATTTGATGAGATTTACTCTCAGGTAAGTGTTCTTTTCATAATCTTCTATCAGATGGATGGTGAACCTAACTGCACTAATTGTTTTAGATGTATTTTGGTGCTATAAATGTGTCACATGAAAAGACCCCCAGCCATTGTGTTTTGTTTTCCTATAGATTAAAAATAAATTATTCTCAAGAGAATTAGATGTTAACAAAAGTAGACCCCCTCCCCCAGTGATCAAGCTTCGATTGGTTTGTATAGGGAGGTAGATTTACAATCCACAATTGTGTGTTCTAGAAAGAAGTCAAAAGAAGTTGAAGACCATCAAACTGAACTCCAGAAACTGACATATGAGGTTGGAATGTCCGAATCTCGGTATGAATCACAATTGATTAGAACTGTTTGCAGCTGTTTTAAAATACAGATAATTGGATCTTTTTGTTTAGACCAGCAGTCCCAAACTTAGGTTTCTGGGTGCTTTTCGACTACTATGCACAGAATCTCTGACTATTGGCCATGATGGGTCTTGAAGTACCAACATCTCGGCACACAAGATTGGAAATATCTTTTTTCACTTTTTTGTTTTTTCCTTCTTGTGTCTATTGGTTTTTTCTTCATTCATTTCTTGTATTTATGACCTGTCTTTTATTTTATTTATTTCATTTCTTCCTCTATTTTCTGGTTTGTCCTGCATTTCTCTCCCTTAATTTCTGCCTCTATTAACATTTTAAGCCTGTTGACAATCAGGTCTCGTTTTTTTCTTCAGTTTTTAAGCTGTGATAATTTTAAAAGTATAGTAGTATTATTACCAGTGACTGTGTTGTTTCCAAGTCACATTCATGTCGCCTTTCATGTGTTTCAGAGCACAGTGGTTTCACTTAGATAAATTCTTTGCATAATGCTTATATTTCCAGTGAAGTGTGTGTAAAGATAAGTGCTTATAGATGTTTGCTGAGCGGAGCCGTTAGGAAATGTGGTCATTTTTGTTTTTAGGTTTAATCATGCCCTGACAGAACGAGAACAATCTTTGCTTGCCTGCCAACAAGCGTGCTGCCGTTTACAGGAAGAAATGATTGAGAAAGAGAGGAAAGAAGAAGACCTTAAGAAACTAACCAACCATTTGGAGAGTGAACTGGAAGCAATTAAGAACCTCCTCAAGCAACGAGAAGAAGAAGTGGTAACACTTAAGCAAGAAAGGTAATCAGAAATGACTTGCCATGCATGGCATTACAGGACAGGATGTTCTGCCTAGATTTTCTTTTCTTTTCTTTTTTAGAATGTCATTGAACTACAATTCCCCCTAACAACTTGACTGTTTTCAGTTCTCCACATCCAAAACAAATCTTTAAAGAACACGGTGTTTTCTGGTCCAGAGGTGGAGAGGGGAAATCCATGTTGAAGAAGGAAAACAGTATTTTTTAGTGCAGACCTCAGAATTTTCACCTCATGCAGAACTCAGCAGATTTTTTTTTCCATGTCAGAAGCAACTTGAAAACTGCAAGTTGTTTCTGGTGTGAGAGAATTGGCCATCTGCAATGACGTTGCCCAGGGTAAGCCATATGTTTTACCCTCCTGTGGGTGGCTTCTCTCATGTCTCTGCATGGGAAGCTGGAGGTGACAGATTCGAACCACTGACCTTCAGGCTAGCAGTCCAGCCGGCATAAGGCTTTAACCCATTGTGCCACCGCAGCATATTCCTTACTATGCTTATTCCTTACTATGTGGTTAATTGCATGCTGATTACAACAGAAATAATGCCCCCCATCCAGAGAAAATTACTTTATAAACTCATGTATAAGTCTAAAAATGTTAGTCAAAATGTCCAAAATCTAGTTTGATTTATTCAGGGGTGAATGCAAGTATTGCATCTTAACATTTTCTAAAAAGATACCATCCTCTTTTCTAAGTAGAGTGATGAGAGGCCACCATGGGAGAACCTATAAGAAATGCTGACCCTCTAAACTCTCTTTGCCATGGTGCCACCACTGGATTTTTTGTATGGTGGCGGTGGCCGGGGACAGCTGGCCCTTGTGTTGGCTTTGTGTTTTCCCCTTTCAGAATGATCCTCAACTTATCCGCAGGCCATAGCAAAATCTATAATTTTGACTCCAAAACTTATCCTCGACTTATACATGAGGTTAGCCTATACATGAGTATATACTAGGCATGGGCGAACTCTGACCCTCCAGGTGTTTTGGACTTCAACTCCCAAAATTCCTAACAATCGGTAAGCTGGCTGGGATTTCTGGGAGTTGAAGTCCAAAACAACCGGAGGGCAAATGAATAGCAATCTTATTCATTCAATTAACATCAGTGGTGGAAGATAGTTACAAGTAACATGTTGGTTTATGGTGAAATCTAATTATGATCAACTTTCTCTGGACTGGGACATTTTGTTGTTGTTCATTCATTCAGTCGTTTCCGACTCTTCGTGACCTCATGGACCAGCCCACGCCAGAGCTCCCTGTCAGCCGTCACCACCCCCAGCTCCTTCAAAGTCAATCCACTCAGTTCAAGGATACCATCCATCCATCTTGCCTTTGGCCAGCCCCTCTTCCTTTTTCCTTCCATTTTCTCCAGCATCATTGTCTTCTCTAAGCTTTCCTTTCTTCTCATGATGTGGCCAAAGTACTTCATCTTTGCCTCTACTATCCTTCCCTCTAGTGAGCAGTCAGGCTTTATTTCCTGAATTATGGGCTGGTTGGGTCTTCTCGCAGTCCAAGGCACTCTCAGAACTTTCCTCCAACACCACAGTTCAAAAGCATCTATCTTCCTTCGCTCAGCCTTCCCTAAGGTCCAGCTCTCACATCCGTAGGTGACTACGGGGAATACCATTGCTTTAACTATGTGGATCTTTGTTGCCAGTGTGATGTCTCTACTCTTCCCTATTTTATCGAACTTGGTCATTGCTCTCCTCCCAAGAAGTAAGCGTCTCCTGATTTCCTGGCTGCAGTCTGCATCTGCATCTTTGCACCTAGAAATACAAAGTCTGTCACTGCCTCCATGTTTTCTCCCTCTATTTCCCAGTTGTCAATCATTTTTATTGTCTTTGAGGTATGCCAACAATCCGACCTTATTCCGTTGAGGTTGGGGAGACTTTATAGTCCCCAAACCTTTTGAGAAGGAGTTTCAGCCTTAGAGCTCACAGATTAGAAGGCTCTTCAGCTCCCTCTCACTTTAGAGCCGCCGCAAACTAGTCTCCTGCGGGAGCAAACCTTGCCAGCACGTCCCTGACGTCATGAGACTGCGCCTCTCTCCCCGCCCTTTCTCCGCCCCTTTCTCTGTGCCAGAGTGGTTTTTCCTTTGCTAGGGCAGCATTGCCAGCGTATTCTCTCAGTTGAATTCTGCCAACTGAGAGAGTACACTGGCAATGCTGCCCTAGCAAAGGAAAAACCACTCTGGCACGGAGAAAGGGGCGGGGAGAGAGGCGGAGTCTCATGACGTCAGGGACGTGCTGGCAAGGTTTGCTCCTGCAGGAGGCTAGTTTGCGATGGGTCTTAGGCCATCAAAGTGGTATCATCTGCATATCTAAGGTTGTTAATGCTTCTTCCAGCAATTTTCACCCCAGCCTTGACTGAAGCCTTAATGTAGCACGTAAAATGTTCAAAGTTATTCACATCCATCATGGTAGCCTTTACAATAGCTCATTGCAGTGAGTAAAGCCAGTACATGATACTTCTATGACTTCAGAGCATACTGTATGGAGGAAGGACTCACATATATATATTTGCCCCCTTTCTCTTGACATCACTTCCAGTAAAGACATGAGTGTTACCTTAGTTGCTCCTCAGGAGCAATGTCATTTACTGCCCTCTATATTGTCTCCCTGAGCAGAGTTCAAGTTATTTCTGACTTATTGCAGCCCTAAGATCAACCTGTCAAGAGGTTTTCTTAGCAAAATTTGTCGAGAGTCAAACATTAAAACTGAATCCAGTGTAATACTCAGTGACACCATTTGTATGGCAAGAGTTTTCAATGTTCTTTAAACAGACACACAATAATCACTGAAATAATTCTGACATAATAATAATGTTGTAGAATTCTAACTTGAGGTTTTAGAAAACTATATGTTTTTAAGTCAGAACCTTCAAAGCTGCAATATTGGGATAGTTACATAAACACAATAATGCACGCAGAGCTGTCTCTGACTTGACAACTTGGAAGTTGTTATGCATGTGGGAATTGGACAAGCTATCTTTTGCGTAGAGATATTTTATATCAATCTTTTCTTTCCTGTGAAATTCAGTAGAGAATTTATCTCTTCAGCTGTCATGTTTTCTTGAATAAAGGCTTCAGATCTGTATATTTAGAAAACAATAGAATTCTTATGCATTAATTCCTTTGTTAGGTGCATTGACTCACTGAATCATTGGGTTTAATATAAATATTGTTGTATCTATTCTAAAGCCTTTGACTCTGTGGATCATAATAAATGGAGGCAAGATCTTGGTTGTGTGGGTATACCAAATCACCTTGTCTGTCTCCTGAAGAATCTGTATAACAACCAAGTAGCAACAGTAATAACAGGCCACGGAACAACAGACTGGTTCCAGATTGGGAAAGGAGTTTGGCAGGGCTTATACTCTCACCCTATCTATTCAACTTGTATGCACAACACATCATGTGATGTGTGGGGCTTGACGAATCCTAGGCTGGAGTTAAAATTGCTGGAAAATACATTCGCAACCTTAGATATGCAGATGATACCACTTTGATGGCTGAAAACGAGGAGGAGCCGAGGAGCCTTCTAACCAAGGTGAAAGAAGAAAGTGCAAAAGCTTGGTTGCAATTAAACATAAAAAAACTAAGATGATGACAGCCAGACTGATTGATAACTGGCAAATAGAGGGAGAAAACGTGGAGCCAGTGACAGACTTTGTATTTCTAGGCGTAAAGATTACTGCAGACACAGACTGCAGCCAGGAAATCAGAAGACATATGCTTCTTGGGAGGAGAGCAATGACCAATCTCAATAAAATAGTGAAGAGTAGAGACATCACACTGGCAATGAAGATCCATATAGTTAAAGCAGAGGTATTCACCTTAGTAACCTATGGATGTGAGAGCTGGACCATAAGGAAGGCTGAACAATGAAAGATATATGCTTTTGAACTGTGGTGTTGGAGAAAAATTCTGAGTGCCTTGCACCACAAGAAGATCAAACTAGTCCATACTCCAGGTAATAAAGCCCAACTGCTCACTGGAGGGAAGGATATTAGAGGGAAAGATGGAGTACTTTGCCCACATAATGGGAAGACAGGAAAGCTTGGAGAAGACAATGATGCTGGGGAAAATGGAAGGAAAGGGGGGGGAGGGGCTGACTAAGGGCAAGATGGACAGATGGTAGCCTTGAAGTGACTGGCTTGACCTTGAAGAAGCTGGGGGTGGCCACGGAGTTCTGGCATGGGCTGGTCCATGAGGTCACGAAGAGTCGGAAGTGACTGAACAAGTAAACAACAACTGTTGCATCATGTTAGGACTATCAATAGGATTAAGGCTTTCTTGATCTATGAGATCAGTATTCACTGGAAGAATGCCTTTCCACAGGAATTTTCCATATATTTTTCAATACCTTGTTAAGAAAAAACCTGTTAATATTTGAAATGGACCACATTCACTTTTATTGTGTAGCATGGAAGTACTACAAATTACTATGACACTTATTAAAGCAGGATTCATTTTACATCAATTGACAAAAAAAATGGTTTGTATATCCCTTAATGGACTTTGAGTGCATCCAGTTCCTTAACTCACTCACTCTTTTAGTTTGTTAGGATTATTTGATGGCAAACGAGGGGGAAAAATCATATTTATTGAGCACAGGACTAATTGTCCGTTTCAAGGAAATTCACAATATGGGTTTCGTTAGAAAGGGTAGGAAAGATGAAATGTCAGGAAATTTGAGTATATTTCCAACTTTCTGAAGGGAGGAGGATCATAATCAAGCTGAAGCATGGGAAGAGGCAGTTGAGCCTTCCCCTGACTCATATCCGTAATCTAAATTGTAGGGATTACACCTGCTCCCTCTCTGTTGTTGTTCTTCTGCTGGCAGGCTGTCCTTCCAAGTCTTAGGCTTCCAATTTCTTAAGTGCATTCTTCATTTTAATTAGACTGAGCCAAAGTATTGGAAGTCTTGAACTATTTTGATGTCTTCATGGCCCATTTAGAAGTATATACATCATTTGTGGCCATTATTTCAACTGTGTTATTGCTTTTGTATTATCTTTCTTAATTTCTCTCAATATTCATTCTAGGTCTTTGCTATTTTTTGCAAGTTATATGATGTCATCTGCATAACAATGTTGATGGCCCTTCCTCCAAGTAAATTGCCTCCTTCCCCTGAATCTAATCCCACTTTCCTTGTAATCCATTCTGAAGCTAATTTAAATGTATTGGGTGATAAAATGCAGTGTTGTTTGATCCCCTTGACAATAGGAAACCAGTCCTTTTTCCTCAAGATTATGTCATGTATCAGGACAACCAGAGATTGTGGAGCACATGTTTCTTTTAGATAATATTTTCCTCATGATCTGCATTATCAAAGGGTTCACTTAAGCAGTAATCAATAAAGTATAAGATGGAAGCAGTACACTATCATTTTGAAAATCCTGACTTTAAACACATTTCCCAAAAGTGTGTTGAATTATTGGCTTACTGCCAGAAAGATGTGAAAGAGTGGGACATTCTAGCCTCCCAAAAAAAAGAGTTAGAGAGCCTAGGACAGGTATTGGTAAATCCAGGCCTGAAGGCTGGATGTGCCCCTTGGGCTCTTTTCTCAGGCCTGCCTCTCTCTCACCATCCTATCCTTCCTTCCTTCTCTTTCTCTTTCTTCCTTCCCTCCCTTCCTCCTTCCTTCCCTTCCACCCTTTTGAACTTCCTTCCCTTTCCTCCCTCCTTCTCCCTCTCTGTTTCTCCTTTCTTCACTTATGTCTTTCCTTCCTTCTCTTTTCCCTCCCTTCCCTCTATTGCCTTCCACCCTTCCTTCCTTCCATCCTTCTCTTCCTTCCTTTCTTTCTTCTTTCTCTTTTTCCTTTCATTTTCCTTCTGGGGGATGTTTATCTGGGAGAAGAGAAGGTAAGAGAGAAAACATGAGAACCTTGTTTCAAGATTTAACAGGATGTCCTGTTGAGGAGGAGGGAAAAACTGACTTTCTGCTGCTCTAGATACCAGGGCACAAGGGAGCAGTGGTTTCCAATTGCAGGGAAATAGATCCAACTGAAAAGATTAGGAAGAACTTCCTGGAGAGTGGCATAGGCTGCCTGGAAGTGTGGTGGAGTCTCCTTCTCTGGAGGCTTTTCCACAGAGGCTGTCTTTCAAGAGTGCTTTGATCGTGCCTTCTTGCGTGGTCGGTGGTTGGACTGTATGGCCCTTGGAGGTCTCTTCCAGCTTTAGGATTCTAGGATTATATATCAGGAGTCAGCAATACTGGGTCTAATGGACACACTTTTTCTCTCCCGTCCACCATCTCATCCTGACCATGGCCAACCCTTTTGGGATTTAAACATTTCCTGTCTTTCCTTCACTTTCTGCCTCTGAAAGAAAACAGGAAGGGGAGGAAAGGGCAGGGAGGGGACTTGGGGAGAACTCCCTCCACTCCATCCCACCATGTGCCCCCAAGTTAAAAGGTTTGCCCATGCCTGGCCTAGAACCAACCACTTAAAAGGCCCTCTCCTGCATCTTCACCAGATGTCCTGAGAAGATGAGAGGAATGAAGGAAAAGCATCTTTAAATATCAGAGAACCTGGTTAGGTTTTTGTGGGAAAACATAGTAAATAATTCCTGGAGAGCCAAAAAAAGATTTTGAATGTTAAAAAAAAACTAGGAAGATGTTGAAATCAGGAGTGAATCACATGTCTCAGTCAGTGCATAGTGTACATTTGACTTTATTGGAGTATAGTTCTCAGACTCCAGCAACCAATATGTACATAAGGTATCCACGTACTGATGCTGCTTGCTAAAATGGATAGAATTCTAGGTTATGATGTAAGGTAGATTATAATTTCTAGACGTCATAATCATGAAATCAGATTTTCAATTATTGTGTATCCCTTTCCAGTCCACATGACTGATGTAGGCTTATGGAAATAAGTATTGTTGGATCTACTGAAGTTTTGATCTGTAATGCTGGATATACCACAGGTTATTAATGGGACCAGAATGACTGGACAGGAAGAGGGCCTGTAGACATAAGTCTCCATAACACACAGAAGGAACACTAGTACACTTTGCTGGTTGAGCCATTGCTGAAGCCTGACGGTTATATTAGGAGACTGCCAAACAGAATTGACCTTGACATACCATTAATCAGTCTGCATCTTGACACCTAAATTACATTAGAACAGAAGAAGTGTTGTTCTACACCAGACCAATGTCTGACTCAGCATCCACTCCCCCCCTCCCCCCAAAAGTGACTCACCTGAATTTAGAGATGGGCTAGAATTTCTCAGAAAATGCTTTGGCAATCAGTGCTCTGATGTTTTTCTCTTTCTTTTTAGGCTGTATTTGACTTTGAGATAGAATTTCAGCACCTTCCACAAGAAAATGTAAATGAGATTAGCTGGGTTGATTTTTTTTCCAGGCATGAATTTTAAAAAGTATGGGTATGAAAACTTGAAGACCACTTTTGCTCCTATAATTCCTCCTCAACATGGGGAGAATCCTTTGTTCGAACATTCCCATATTTCGTTTTGAACAGTATCAAGCACTTTACATTATCTTAAAAGTTATTATAACCATCCTAGTACATTCCTAGTAGAGGAGAGTACTGAGGACCGCACTGCATATGGTTGTCACCACTATAATATTGACTCTGGCAACAAAACATAAGAGATAGAAACTGAATCTCTGCACATATCCATGCATTCACATGTCCACATCTACATTTACTGATTGATGGTTGTTATTCACTATTATGGGTCATATATGCCAGTGCATGTCTCCTGCTGACGCAAGCGGTTAAACCACTTGATGTTAGTGGTTAGTGGCTCGAATCCGGGGAGCAGGTTGAGCTCCTGCTGTTAGGCCCAGCTTCTGCCAACCGAGCAGTTAAAAAACACGTAAGTGTGAGCAGATTAATAAGTACTGCTTCTGCGGGAAGGTAACTGCTCTATGCAGTCATGTTGGCTTTGGAGGTGTCTATGGACAGTGCTGGCTCTTTGGCTTAGAAATGGAGATGACACCCCCTCCCCCCACCAGAGTCGGACACGACTAGTCTTAATATCAGAATAAACCTTTACTATGTCAGTGCTCAAGCTATTCTTTATTTATTTATGACATGTATATGCCGCCCTTCCCACCTTGAAGGGGACTCAGAGCGACTTACAAGTTATATGTAAATAGAGTATATTATATTATTAGCATAGCACAATATTAGTACCATACATTCTCATATGGTGCTATACCACTATACTGTAATATTATTAGTAATATTACATGTAAGATGAAATATATAATTATTTTTATTTATTTATTTCATATCAAAAGCATTGCATAAATTAGTATAAAACTGATAAAAAATAGAAGGAGTGCAGGCAGCTAAATATCTTTTGACCAAAAACGGACAACAGCAATGGCATTGCTGTAACCTCCAACAATTCTTCCTCTTTACATGAGGCAGGGCATAGTGCACAAGTCTACAGATGCGGAGTTGTCTGTTCTGCTTCACAGTTACACAAGGTGTGGGATTTTTTTAGGTAGTGCCATTTTGCCATGTTGTCTTTTGATCTGCCCACTCCACTTCTGTGTCTGTTCAGGGACTTCCAGGTTTTTATTATTATTATTATTATTATTCTAATAAAACTATTGTATTATTATTAGTATTATATTATATTACATTATATTATCAATATTATATGTGTATACAATATATTATATTATTAGCACATCACAATATTGGTATTATATATTACTATAGTGTACTAGACCACTGTACTGTAACATCATTAGTAATATTACATGTAATATAAAATATATAATTCTTATATTGTATTATTATTAGTATTATATTGTATTACATTATAATATTATTATCAATATTATATGTGTATACAATAAATTATATAGTTATCATGGTACAGCAGTAATATGTTATTATTATTATAATATAATAATATATAAGCCTTATATTGATATATAAACCTTAAAATGCCATGAACACACACATACACACACACACACATTTTGTGTTAAATATCGTTGCCCAATTTTGTTTGAGGATTCTGTTCATAAGGCACACAGCTATATGTTTAAAAAAATGTAATTTCCTGTGACATGCATTGTAAATCTTTTAATACATAAGAGTACTTAATGCCTATGTATTGAAAAAGTCATATATCTAAATGGATGTTTTGATTTGTTTTATGTGTTACGTGTTTTTAACTGATGGTGTGTGCTGGATTCTAATATGTTCTGGATTCCTTCCCTCAATCCGTGAAGATAGGCATGTGTTGTGGATAAATGGTAAAGTAGAAGAAAAACATTGAGGTTTTTTCCTATGCCCTCTCTATATTGAATATCATACTCTTGGATTTTGTTGTGTTTAGGGCATCTGTGTTGATTTCCCATCAGACCAGAACAGAGCAGCTGGAGAAAACATTGAGGCAGAAGGTGCTGAGTGAAAAGAGTTGGCAGGAAAAGGTATGACTGGGATTTCAAGTCATCCCCATGTTTATGTGTTTTCTGTACGTTAAGTCACTTGTCAGTAAATGCATCTGGTTTCAATTTCCTAATAACTTTTGTACTCGTGCGCTTAACATTCTTTATCCAAAGTTAGAATGAGTCCCCAAGGGATATTGTTTGTTTATTAATTAGTTTTAAAATGTTATTCTGACACATGACTCCATAGAATCCTCTTGTTTAAAAATAATAAAAGTGTAAGAAACTGATTAAAATAACAAGAGGGGGAAAAGGCAATCATTCTTTATTAGCAGTAACAAAACACCAACATCTCAGGTAAAATGGCATAATTAAAAATATTCTTTCCCCATCCTTGTATTCCCTTCAAAGTTTTATGAGCTATTAAAAAGTTAGAAACAAATGCACTTGAAAGTTTCCCATCTAGACTCGCCTCTTTTTTTATATGTTCTTTCCCTGGATTAAGTTTTTCAGGACAACCCTACTCTTTGAATCTTTGTGGTCAAAGGCTAAAACTGCTCAAGATCCCCTAAAATCAGTGTAACTTGCTTTCTTCCATCAGGTGTGGTCTTCCTTAATTTTGCTGGCAAGCCTCCTGATTAAATGCCTCTGACTAAGTGTCCACTTCTGTGTTTTGAATTCCCGTCTTTAGTGGATCTGAGAGAAAGTATACATTAAGCCTGTGATAATGTTGCCTGATTTGGTCTAGAGCCCCAGATTTGAGCTCATTTTCTGCCTTCTCATAGACTAGATTAATTCAAATAGAGCTGAATAATAGTAACAACAACAACAACTTTATTTTTATACCCTTCCTCCATCTTCCCGAAGGGACTCGGGGCGGCTTAGAGGGGGCCAGTCGACATTTAAAACATAGCATGTACAAAATGCAACAATCAATCTAAAACAACATAATCTACACTATAACAACAATAAAACAAGCCTCAGAAATAACAACCAATCTCATTGTAGGAGGACGGTCTGGTGCACAGCAATTTATAGGTCTAATGAGTAAAGTATGTAGATGATAAAGCAGCAAAAGGATAAGAGCAGTTTCAACTGGATAATTAAGACTTTGAGTAGAATAGTAGTAAGGTGCAAGGACAAGATTTAGGTCATAGCTAAGGCAAGTTGTCCAGGGAATTATCTAATCAAATGCGCAACGGAACATCCACATCTTTAGTTCTTTGCAAAACATGGATAGGGAGGGTGCTAGCCTAATCTCCCTGGGGAGGGAGTTCCAGAGCTGGGGTGTCACAACCGAGAAGGCCCTTTCTCTTGTCCCCACCAACCACACTGAGACGGGGATAGAAGTGATAGGAGAGCCTCCCCAGAAGATCTTAGAGATTGGGTGAGCTCGTAAGGAAAGATGCAGTCATGAAGATAGGCAGGTCCCAAGTCGTCATGATTTTGTTTCTGTTGAACCTCCATGTAAGTTTGCAATTCATGTAACTCAAGCAGTTTTTGGTAACCATTGCACATTTTTATTTGTGGGTCAGGTTGTGTGTGTGTTTTCAGTTTTTGTGTTCCCCTCCCATACCGATGATATTTTGCTCATTAAGAAAGCCCAACCTCTCCATTGTTATGCTTGACTAGAAAGGACCCAATTTTCTGGCTGTGTCTCATTCAGCCCACAGGAAAGTTCATGCAAACATTGCAGATTCCCTCTCATCCCATCACTTTCCCAGCTCTGGCAGAAAAGATATCTTCAGATTGCAGGAGGATTATCTGAAGGGACATTCTGAGCACACATGCATTTGATTCTACTGCATAAAACTTCAGTGTATAGGATCTATAGAAAATAAGAATATCCCCACCTTCTCTCCCTGTTCCCATTCTCCCAAATGTCAAAATGCTCAATAACTAAACCTAATGTTTTAAACACCTGGCCTTCAGATGTTCATATCTTTTTGTGCAGTATGTACAGAATATACAAACTGAGTATGATTTTGATAAACACACACGCATCTCAAATCGTTTGAAACATCTTGTTCTCTCACATATAGGACATAATTTTAGCATGAGGTCAGTCTGTTTGCATAATCAGAATCTTTTAAATGCATCCTAGCATTTTAAATGGGCAATGAACTAATAGAAATAAGAGACAGCAGTTACATATTTGCTAACAGCTATTAAAATGTGCTGAATGTCAAGTGTTCTGAAAATACTCTCATCAGACCAGAGAGATGCTCCTGCCTTTTTCTTGGGTCACTGTGCCATTACATAGGCATAATGTGTTCCCTTTTTAAAAAGAAGAAAACTTTTGATCCATGTTAAATGGGGGGAAATCAGTTTGAAAATTAAGTTGCTGAAAGTGGTATTTTGGCATTCAATGTGCTGGGTTATAAAATGTTCTAGAAAGAAAACAAATCAATTGTTGCTATGCAACTTGAGCAAGATAATTGAGAAACATCTTTCAGCATGCTCATTATTGTGCTTATTAGTTACCCTGATTTTCAGATATTAGATACATGAGAAAAAATGATTCTGTTGTTAGTTCCAATGAACTGACAACATTTATTTTTTATGTTAATTCTTTGTTGACCCTATTTTGAAAACACTTAAAGCCCACTCCTGACCTGTATGTTCCAGATGTAAGAGACACTTGTTCCACACTTCAGTAGTAGTGATGTACACTTTTATCTACATGAATATGATGTCCAGGTAAGAAGAAAACACCATTCCCCTGGAATAAATATTTATACAAATGGATGTTGCACAAACATTTTCACAGACTGAAATTCTGATCTAGAAGCTTGGTCCTCACTCTCTGCTCTGCCTTCATCCTGAACAATTTCTCTGCAGTGATGTCCACAGTCTGGTTGAGGCTGCACAGAAAGAAGAGTCACAGTGAATCTGGCAAGTATCAGTATTCAGTTCCCATGGTGGCCAACCAAGGGCTCACAGGCCCACAAGCTAAACAAGAAACATCCAGTTATATTACTGGAAGTAATATATAACTAACATGAGTAGCTGTCTTTGAGAAGTTATCTTCAACTAATCTCTCACCATTTAGCCCAGGTTTATGAGAGATGAAGAAATTATTTTTGTTGTTTTTCGTTCCGACTCTTTGTGACCTCATGGACCAGCCCACGCGAAAGCTCCCTGTCAGCCGTGGCCGCCACCAGCTCCTTCAAGGTCAAGCCAGTCATTTCAAGGATAACATCCCTTTTCAACAGGAAGAATATAAGTCTCATGTTCAAAAATAGGCTAAATTAAGGTTTACATTTCTCTTTTCCACAAAATGTAGGAATGGTAACCATCTTGGATAGGCTTGACAAAGGATGATACAAAATTATAGTGAAAGAAATGGCCAACTCCATTCTTGCATTGAAGAGCATGTATCTATTCACTCCATAATACATATATGTTTTGAATTGGCATGTAATTTATATGATATATATAAAGTTTGTGTATGCTTTGTGTATTCCTTATTAGTTGTGTGTGTGCACATGTATATGGTTCAAAGACTGCATATCTTAACTGACCTGAGCCCTATTAACAATTAACTTTTTTTCAGGATTAATACAGTGTATTTTGTATTCTGTGAACATTGGTATAAATCAAGGGATGCAAATACTTACACACATTCAAATATTTTGCTTTGTAGATTGAAGCTGAAAGAGCAAAAGAACAACTCCATCACAAAGAGGAGATTCTGAGACTAAAAGAAGACACCAAAATGGAGCTTGACATTGAGAAACAAAAACATCAAGAAATAGTTGCAAAATATCAGAAAGATCAGAATGAACTGCTGCATACAAAGGTTTTATCACATGAAGATAAATTGAGATTTTTTAAAAAAAATGAACAGGAAACAGGCTTTCACTTAATTTTATCATAAAGATTATATAATACAGTACAATGGGCATGCTAGAAAACGGTTTCCCCAACTTCTTTCAGAATTTGATAATTTAGAACAGACACTAAGAAACAATCTCAGGACCAGCCATTCTTGTTGATATGGTCTGATTGATAGGGGCAGTCAGTGAAAAGATGTGTTAATCACAACATGTTGAAAAAATACATGTGTTTATGCAATCAGGACTTGGTGCTATTTCTGAGTTGTTGTTCTCTCTAGAAAATGGAGGAATTTTAGAAATTTTCATGAGCATGCTGTTAGTAGTGACCTGGGTCATTTATAAACCATTATTCTGCATGACAGAGAAATCCATGATTCAGAGGCAACAGCCCTGTTGTTAAAGCACATATACTCCCACCATAGAACATGGGACAGTGTAACTTTTGACATTAGTTTTTCATAAACAATTCAGGTTAACCAGAGTCTGAAGTGATTCCGTCCTGGGATAACTCATCATGTCGTTTTTCAGATCATTCTCATATCTTCAGATGCCATTCTTTTTAGTTATCTCTGTATAGTCCCATGAATAATTTCTGTCCCTAAAAAGAGTTCCATGTGCTATATATAAACAGAGCTCAGATTTTTAATAGGTGTCCCACTATTCATGCACCCACTCAAATGAATGTTGCCAGAAAGGGTAGATGAAACGATCACAAAAACAACACCCCCATGAAGAAAGGTTGCTATGTTTGAAGTTTAGAAGAAGGGCAAGGAATAGCTATGATAGATTTTCCCTTCTTTCATAGCATTAGAACTCAGAAGTGACCACTGAAACTAGTTGGTAGAAGTGAATGTCTTCAGGTAATAAATAGTTAACTCGTGGAATTTTTGCCACAATATATAGTAGAGATTTGGATTTTTGTGGGTGTCAGGAGCTACTTGAGAAACTGCAAGTCGCTTCTGGTGTAAAAGAATTGGCCGTCTGCAAGGATGTTGCCCAGGGGATGCCCGGATGTTTTACCATCCTATGGGAGTCTTCTCTCATGTCCCTACATGGGAAGCTGGAGCTAACAGAACAGATGGGAGCTCACCCCACTCCCCGGATTCGAACCGCCAACCTTTTGGTCCACAGTCCTACCAGCACAAGCGATTTGGATGATTGAAGGGAATTGAGTAAATTCATGGACGTTAGAGGCACCAAGAGCTACAAGTCAACAGTTATTGAGCAAGCCACACATTCTCTATCTCAGAAGAAAGTAGACAGACCCCCTCTGAACAAACTTTGCTAAGAAAATGTCATAATAGGTAGGTTTTAGGCTGTTCGTAAAAAAAAAAAAACAACTTTAAGGCACACAACAATTTGATATGCATCAATGAGAGGCAGTGTGGTGTAAAGGTTCGACATTGGTCTATGACTCTAGACCAGGATTCAATCCTTTGCTCAGCCATGGAAAGCCATTATACAACTTTGGGTGAATCACACAGGTTCAAGTCTAGAAAACTCTGTAATAGTGTCACCATAAGTTGAAAATGACTCGAAGTTACACAGAAACAACAATTAGGCGGCAAACGTATTTAGGCTCTATGTTCACCTTCCCCCATCTGACACTGTTCTAATGTTAATAAGGGCATGGAAGCGATGACTGAAATGGTCCACCTTAACTAGACAAAATCATGATAGGGGAAGGTTGCTATATGCCATAGAAAGTTTTGCCAGTTGATTTCTGCACAATAAGCTGCTATGCAAAACTAAAATACTAAAATAGTGACACTTAGACACTATTTTAATTTTTTCCTGAAAAAAGCATTCCATCTGTTTGTCATCTCTGTTGTTGTTATTTAATATTTTAATGAATCATTTTCATTCATTTTTTAAACCACACCAGTAAGCTTCTATGAATAGAGGAAATATAAAAATGAATATGCCATGTTCAAGCCATTTATTTCTTCCATAATTTTGTTTAATTTGATCTCTTCATATATCATGTTTTTGCAATGCATTTTTAAAGAGAAGCTTATGAACAACATAGTGTTGTCATAATTTTTATTGATAGGATGATGTTACATTTTCCTCCTACTTGGAAAATCTATCTTAGGTCTACTTTAAATCTGTTTAACCAAAGATCTACAAACAAATAAATGACATATTTGCTTTTCAGATACCTCTTCTGATATCCAGTGCGACCTATAACCTAAAGATGGAAGTGGATGCACTTGAAAAGAAGCTCCATGAATCCCAGGCCATGCTTACAGAGAAAAACCAGGAAAGAGAAAAAGAAATGCAAAGCCTTAAAAAACAAATTATGGAACTTGAACACCAGCTGCAAGAAGAACAAAGCACGCACCATTCAGTGACAGTAGATATGAAAGAAGAAATCAAAAAGAAGACCCAGGAGCTGGAAAAACTGACTCAGGAGCAAACACAAGTAATTCAGAATATGAATCAAGTCCAAGATGAGGTATGAATTTGAGCTAAAGGTTTAGATCTGATTTCTTGAATTTTATTTCTGAAGCTCTTTTTGTACTGAGCACTGGTTGAGGAAAAATAAACTATCTAGTCATTGGGCAAGCAACAGGATATATCACACACCTTCCCCTTTCTCATGAACCTTAATCCAATATTATTTGGTTCTTAGAATCATAGAATCATAGAATCAAAGAGTTGGAAGAGACCTCATGGGCCATCCAGTCCAACCCCCTGCCAAGAAGCAGGAATATTGCATTCAAATCACCCCTGACAGATGGCCATCCAGCCTCTGTTTAAAGCTTCCAAGAAGGAGCCTCCACCACACTCCGGGGCAGAGAGTTCCACTGCTGAACGGCTCTCACAGTCAGGAAGCTCTTCCATGTTCAGATGGAATCTCCTCTCTTGTAGTTTGAAGCCATTGTTCCGCATCCGAGTCTCCAAGGAAGCAGAAAACAAGCTTGCTCCCTCCTCCCTGTGGCTTCCTCTCACATATTTATACATGGCTATCATATCTCCTCTCAGCCTTCTCTTCTTCAGGCTAAACATGCCCAGTTCCCTAAGCCGCTCCTCATAGGGCTTGTTCTCCAGACCCGTGATCATTTTAGTCGCCCTCCTCTGGACACATTCCAGCTTGTCAATATCTCTCTTGAATTGTGGTGCCCAGAATTGGACACAATATTCCAGATATGGTCTAACCAAAGCAGAATAGAGGGGTAGCATTACTTCCTTAGATCTAGACACTATGCTCCTATTGATGCAGGCCAAAATCCCATTGGCTTTTTTTGCCGCCACATCACATTGTTGGCTCATGTTTAACTTGTTGTCCACGAGGACTCCAAGATCTTTTTCACACGTACTGCTCTCAAGCCAGGCGTCCCCCATTCTGTATCTTTGCATTTCGTTTTTTCTGCCAAAGTGGAGTATCTTGCATTTGTCACTGTTGAACTTCATTTTGTTAGTTTTGGCCCATCTCTCTAATCTGTCAGATCGTTTTGAATTCTGCTCCTGTCCTCTGGACTATTGGCTATCCCTCCCAATTTGGTGTCGTCTTAAACCACAGCTTCCCACTATTTCTAAACTGAAAAATTGTGGTTTGAGTGAATCCTACAAAGAAGGGTTTTGAAATCAAAGTGAAACTATGTATACTGCTGGAAGTGTTAGAAGTTGTGGGGACTGCTGTGTGTAGGGAGTGTCAGAAGTGATGAGAAATTAAGAATGGCTGAATTAAAGTGGAAGGGAAAGCACAAGAGAAGTATGTGAACAGAATATCCATTCCCAGTGAAACAAATCATGCTTTTTGAGCTAAGATTGTTACACCTGAAGTGTCTATTATGTTATTATGTTCTGTTATGAACAAGATGTGATTCCCCACTCCCAGTGTCCTTCATTTGACAGATGTGATTTGTATTGCTATATTTTGGACTCTTTCTGCATTATTTGAAATCCCTGTACTATTCCTGAGTGTAGAAAGGGAATTTTTTTTCTGTTATTCACATGTCTACTATGAAGATAATCAAATGAATATGTGGAAGGTAAACATTGTAACAGTGTGTGTAAGAATGCTTTTCTCCATGTATTCAGTATCATATAAAAATGTCCCTATTTTGCTACAAGTATTCACAGCTAACTGCCTGAATATATTATATCTGGAGAGTCAAAATTTTGTACCATGTCAGGGCGTACAGAATACATGTAACATATGCATCTTTGTGTGCCACTTGTTTGTTTGTTTGTTTGTTTGTTGTTTGTTTGTTTATTTATTCTATTTGTATCCTGCCTTTCTCTGCCCTAAAGGGGACTCAGGGCAGCTTTACATATGGCAACTATTTGGCCCAGCTTATCTGTCCGAATGTATCTCCCCCTATGAACCATCTCGGAGATAGAGATCATCTGGAGAGGCCCTGCTCTCGGTCCCGACTCCTTTGTAGGCCAGGTTGGTGGGGACGAGAGACAGGGCCTTTTCAGTGGTGGCTCCTCAGCTATGGAACTCCCTCCCCAGTAATATTAGATCAGCCCCTTCCCTCCTGACTTTCAGAAAAAAAGGTGAAAACATGGGTTTGTGACCAAGCCTTTGGCAACTAATACAATGCAATAGATGACTTGGATTTGTGTGTAACGGTCATTGGAATGGCCTGACCTTGATTGTGGATAATGTGATTTTATAGCTGCAAGTTTTATTGTTTATGTTTTAATTGCTTTTAACCGGGTTTAGATTTTTAACTAAATGTTATTTAATTGTTTAAGGCATTGAATTTTGCCTCTGGTGTAAGCCACCTTGAGTCCCCTTCAGGGTTGAGAAGGGCAGGATATAAATAAATAAATATTCAATGCCTTTAAACAACAAACAGTTAAAATACATTACGTTAAAGATTTTAAATTAAAATTAAATGCACATTAAAACATATAAAACATTACAATCACTATTAAAATTACGCTATCCACAGTCGTAATCCAGGGCCATTCCAAAAGACATTGCACATAATTCTGTAGCTATTATTGTTGGGCTTCAGATGTTCATGTTGTCATCTGGTGTTGCAGCCACTGGGCAACAAACCTATATATGGACTCACCCCAGAGCAAAGGTGGGCTGACTTTAGGTTTGTAGGATCTACTTTTTTATTTTAACTAGAATCCTGAGATCTATTACATACTTTATCCAGTTGCAAAACACATAAAATAAAACAATTATGACCGTAGAAGTTTGTATCACAACTGAGTGAAGATGACAGACCTACCACATCAAAATCAGTTCCTGGCTATATTAAGCTTTTTTCATTTTACCAATATAAGTTAGGGAAGAAAAAGAAATCATTTTGCTGGTGTTGCTGTTAAGTAGTTGGAAGCTATAAGCAAAAGAGTAAACCTACCGTAGATCTATAAGTAGGATATACTACATCTGTCTTCTATCCATTGTTGTCCTTGTGCATATCAAGTTATAATAAACTATGCTACAAAACATTGCAAATTTGTAAATAATTGATTCAAAGTATTCATTTGAGAGCAAAAAATCTAAGAAAAGGGAGATCCATTTTCTCCTGGGACATTTTTAAAATGTGTAGAATAGCTAGAAGCAAGGAAAAACAGTGCAAAACATGGAGACATCCCCAAATGGTTAATGTGGCCACAACATCATGCCATCCTTTGTTGTGGTGGTAGTAGTAGTACTAATAAGTTCTACAGATTGACCAAGACAGTCCCATCCTTCAAATGAACCTTAGCAGATGCTGTGTGTTTACTTTTCCCGTTTTCTGCAATAAAGAACACATTTCCTTAAGAAGGCTCCAGGGAGATTCCTAGCCACAGACAAAGTGACCCAGACATGATCAGAGTGCCTTGTGAAATGCACTAGCCAAGTTCAGTCAGCCTAGGGTGGAGACCTTGAATCCTGCAAAACGTGGTAGGAATAATAGTTCATAGGCCATACAAATAAAGAAAAATACTCAAAAATGAATAAAACCCTCTCACCAAGCCTGTAGATGAGAATCTCATGACAGATGCCAGCAATGATCAAACAGTTTGTAGTCTTCATTGGTAGGAAGAGCATAAATGGCCTTCTTGCCAAGATTATTTATCTACAGTACATATGCTGTACTGTAATCTTCGTCTTCAGTTTTTAAAATGTCCTAATTGTTAATAAGATAATATTAAAATTAATTACAATTGTTAAGATTGTTAGAAGATTAAAAATGCTCACCTGTTGGAGAATGTCAAATACATGCCAATTAAGTCACAGCCACTCAGCCTCAGAGGAAAGGAAGGGAAAACTCCATGATACGGTGACCCCATAATACGGTGATCACCATAAGTCAGAAAAGACTTGAAGGCATGCAACAATAGTAAAAACAGTAACAACAACAGCAAAGCGTTGTTTTTGAAGCTCTTCATGAAAGCTGCCAAGGAGAAGACAATGTGAGTGTCCTTAGGCAGGAGGGTCCAGAAGTGCTTCATAGTCATCCCATGTTTTGAGAAGGTTATGGCATCCAAGCCAACCAAATGGTCAAACTAAATTTGACATGGTGTTTTATTTACACATTTTGGATTGCTGTGAGTTTTCTGGGCTGCATGGCCATGTTCCAGAAGCATTCTCTCCTAATGTTTGCTCACATTTATGGCAGGCATCCTCAGAGGTTGTGAGGTCTATTGGAAACTAGGCAAGTGGGGTTTATATATCTGTGGAATGTCCAGAGTGGGGGAAAGAACTGTTGTCTGCTTGAGGCAAGTGTGAATGTTTCAATTGGCTATCTTGATTAGCATCGAATGGCCTTGCAGCTTCAAGGATTGGCTGAATCCTGCCGGAGGAAATCCTTTGTTGGGAGGTGATTAGCTGGCTCTGATTGATTCTTGTCTGGAATTCCCTGTTTTTGAGTGTTCTTTCTTTACTGTCCTAATTTTAGAGGTTTTTTTTAAATACTGGTAACCAGATTTTGTTCATTTTCATGTCTTCTTTTTGTTGAAATTGTCCACATGCTTGTGGATTTTAATGGCTTCTCTGTGTAGTCTGACATGTTAGTTGTTAGACTGGTCCAGCATTTTTGTGTTATCAAATAATATCCTGTGTCCAAGTTGGTTCATCTAGTGCACTGCTGCACATTTTCATTTTAAAAAGGATCAGCATAAGTATAAAGACTTGGTTGATGCAGAGCCAAATACAAGCACAGTCCAGTGAAAAAGAACTTAAACTGCCAAATGCAGCATCCAACCAGGATCTCATATCCTAGTTGAAGTATTGAATAATAATAATAATAATAATAATAATAATAATAATAATCTTTATTTCTATCTCGCCCTATCTCCGCATGGGGACTTAGGGAAGTTTACAACAAATAGCGGCAAACATTCAATGCCATAAAGTGCAGACAGAAACCAAAACAACTAAAGTAACCATAAATCAAAGAACATATTAAGCATCCATTTGTTGTTCATTCGTTCAGTCGTCTCCGACTCTTCGTGACCTCACGGACCAGTCCACGCCAGAGCTCCCTATCGGCCGTCACCACCCCCAGCTCCTTCAAGGTCAGTCCAGTCACTTTGAGGATGCCATCCATCCATCTTGCCCTTGGTCGGCCCCTCTTCCTTTTACCTTCCACTTTCCCCAGCATAATTGTCTTCTCTAGGCTTTGCTGTCTCCTCATGATGTGGCCAAAGTACTTCAAGTGGTAATGGGAACATCATGACAAATTAGACAAAATAAAACTGGAAGGAGTTGACCAGGTTGCTGCTTGGTAGAACTCAGGTAGAGGTACATCTCTCAAAAAGGAAGTTGGGGTTGCAGTTGCCCTTGTTGAGTAGTTCCAGGCAAGAACCTCCAAAGAAAAGCTGGCAAGTGGATGTTCTATTTTGAGCATGAATATAATGAAATGTTTGGAGCTTTATCTCTGAAAATTAATATTTCCCTTTTATCTGCCATTAGGATGGTGGTATTATTGTTCTAATTCAATTACAAAACAAGGCCTTATGCCACATCAGCTGTTTCATGCCTTTTGGTCTACAGCATTCAAGTGCAGTGACCAAAGTGGCTTTTAAAGCTGAAATTTATAATCAATATCTATTGTCCATTTCCTCTGAATCGCACACTGCTTCCAGCAAAACTGCATTTCTGTTTCCTCCTACACTCCCTTGTGGTCCTGAGGGCTGGTAATCTTTTTGGACCACATTTTTGACACAAGGGATGGCTGCAGAGAAGGGAAGGGGGCCAAAGAAGGATACAGACATACCTCTTTGGTTGCCCACTGCAGTGTGTTTGTCTCTAAGGTTGTGCTCTGTAATCTTGCTGAATGAGCCATGCAAATAAACTTTTAAAATGAATGAGCCATGATAGTTGATGATGCTGGGACTTCCAAATGAACATGATTTGAAGATTCCTATTTGGGGAGGCTGAAGCAAGAAGCTGATCCATTTTCTAGCTCATTCCACACATTATTGATAATACTTTGTTTTATATCGTAAGTTATACAACTCTTGGTTGTTAATGTTATTTAGTATTTCCATCCAATCATCATCATCATTTTTATTTATATCCCACCCCATCTCCCCAGAAGGACTCAGGACGGCTTACAACACATATAAATACAATGGACAATATGTGCAAAATAAGTAGGCAAATAATAACACGACAAGTCAATATAAAAGAGAAAATCTCTTTTTCTATTACCATTTTCATTTGTTGTATAAATTGCTGAAATAGTGGTTATTTTAGTTCTTACCTTATGCGACCTCTGTTCTGATTAAGCAATTATTTATTTTGTGTCAAAAGTATTGCATAAATAGATAAGTTTAAAACTGATAAAATAAAGGGATCACATGCTGCTAAACAGATTTAGACCAAAAACAGGCAACAACAACTGCATTGTCTGTAGCTTTAAACAGTTCTTCCTCTGTGCACGAGGCCAGGTATTGTGGATAGGCATAGATATGCTGAGTTGTATGTTCTCCTCCACAGTCACACAAGGTGGATGGAGGATTCTTCTAGGTCAGTGGTTCTCAACTTTTTTTTTGAACAGGGACCCCTTGACTAGGGACCATTTTGACTAAGGACCACTCTCCAATATTAGTACCTAAAGAGTTACTAATAAGTTTTTGGTCAACTTTAGATTTGGTTTGGAGTGCTGATTCAGAAAATTGCACTGGATAGACCACATCAGCTCTAGTTGGTCCGCAACAGGGAAGGAGTGGAAGGTGGCGTGTAAGGAATGGAAATAAAAATAAGTAAAATAAAATAAATGAAGAGGAAGGAGGCCCATGAACCAGGTTTTCATCCTCACAGCTTACTGGTGGTCCATGGCGCACAGATTTAGGACCACTGTTCTAGATAGTGCCATTTTGCCAGGTTGTCTTTTGATGTGCCAACTCTGCTTCAGAGTCTGTTCAGGGACTTCCAAGTTGCCCATTCTTGGTTTGCCCCTGGAGGAAGACCATTGCTTTATAACACTGCTTTATTCAGCAGTAATCAGATTAGTTCTTAGAAGGAGACTGTGCATTGTTTAGGATTCTTCTCTGTACCCTTGCCTTGGTTAGGATCTGGTAGTACTTATGGTACTGTTTCTTGCTCTTCTCCTGCATCTTATCGGGTTTAGACTATTTTAATAGTCTCTTTTAGACTAGCTGCACTTAGGATGATAAAAGCTCTGGATTTAACAATCCCCTATGGGAGGCAGCTCTCTTTGGATGTGTCCTCCTGCTCTTGGTGCTGCATGGGCTTCTGAATATCTGCCCCAAAATCTTGACCTGAGTGAATATCTGCTTTTCAAAGCCAAACATTATTGCTGCAACAAAGAGTGGGTCATTTAATTGTCTATTTTTAGTTTATTTAATTTCCAATATGTCCTGTTCCAAGGGCTTGAGGCAAATAATGTTAATGACATTTTTGGACATTGATTTATTTTTGGGTGGAGATCAATCACTGCCACCTGGTAAAGGCTTCTATTGTCGGCGAATCACTCAGAACTGCTGTGCACCTGTTCGAAAGGCAGACAACCGTCATTTATTTCTTTAGAGCTTGTACTAGATCATATATCTGCTGGGTTGTGTGCTATGATTCATAAAAATGGGTTTGGACTCCCTTTATTAACTGAAATGCAGCCTGAATATCTAGTATTCCATGAAAGTTTGCTCTATCATTATAAAGCATTGTCCCTCACATCAGTTCTATTCAGGAAATTGCTTGACAAGAAAGCAAGCATCTTAGTGGAGACATTAAAGAGGCTTTATTTGTTGGTTGTGTGCAATCTTCCCCTAGCCAGCCTTCTCCAGATATATTGGTCTTTGATGTTCACTACTCCTGAACATGTGCCTTGAGATTATGGGAACTGAAGTCCAAGAACTTTGGGGTTGGCTGCTCAGAAACTCAATGGTGATTTTTTTTTTTTGCCACTGCTTTTGGAGTAGATTCAGAGCATAACATTTAAGCTGAGTCTGATATAGAAGTCAGCTTTTGTAGCTGAGATGAAATTCAAAAGCAGTTCACATTGTTGTGTTGGATTCCCTTTCTGGAGAAAATAATAGTTTTGACGCCCACCTCAGGGCATCTCTCAGGAACCACTATGTGGCCTGGCTGCGAATGGGTTTTCACCACACCCAGGAAGAGAACACAGCAGCCGATACATGAGTAAGGACACATTCCTTATCTGTGGGACCGCTTCAAGCATTTCAGCATGTTGCCTGTGCACTCTGTTCCCTCAGTACTAGCCATTTCGAGAAGTTAAAGCACCCAACAGTTGTACCTTTTTGTTTGTCTTGACAGTGTCTTATGAAATATGTGTTCTTCCCCCCTCCCCTTTTTATTCTCGCAGAATGCTCTTCTCCGGGACACAGTGCGCAGGGAGTGTGAGGAACGTTATGAGCTCACTGAGGCTTTGGCTCAAGCCAGAGAACAAGTTGTGGAGTTAAAGAAACTTGGTGGAAACTTCCCGTTGTCACATTGTTCTCTCAGTCAGGGCGGTCTAACCTCCTCCACCCTATTGGTCAGCAATCATGGGCAGAAAAACCCCAGCTGTGGGAAAGGAGCAGGATCTTTGGGACTCTGTGGGATTTCGAGAGCCACTAATGCACCAGTCTACAGTACTAGATACAAGAGCAACCACATGGGTTTTCCGGCTCTGCCTGCACTACAACCCCCAGGCAGAAGAACCTCTTCATCTCTAGATGAATCCAGGAGGAAGAGGATCACAGCAGTGATAAAAAGACAGCTGAGTGAACTCTGATGAGTTAAGGACTAGTCCCTCTGACCAAGAACTGCCACCAAAAACCATTGGCAGAAGCCAATCATCCATCTCGGTATGGGGAGAATATTTCCTGATCTGATATTTGATACTTTTCGTTGTTTTAATATGTTGGGTTGAAGAATCAGATATGTAAGTTTTAGAATTTAATCATGAACCAGGTTATTTTGCTCAATAAATGTGGTTTTGGTCCAGTTCTCATTGAAGTAGCAAAATTGTGTTTGGGCTTCCCAGTTGGATCACTTCTCACTACAGATGCACTTTTCTGTGATCCAGTAGCCCTCCATACAAAATACAGTAGAGTCTCTCTTATCCAATCTCCACTCATCCAACATTCCATATTATCTGATACCCCTAACCCCACCCCCCATCTTTCCTGCCTCCTCCGTGCCCTCGTCCCAGTAGCAAAGGCAAAGGGAGGGAGGGAGGGCGAGCGAGCGAGCGAGGGAGGTTGGCATTTGCTGCTGGGATGAGCAGGATAGGGAGCCGGGGCCTGGAGGACATAGGAAGGGGAGGATTTAATAAGCTTTTCCTTGATCCTTCCCTATTATCCAACATTTTCAGTTATCCAACGTTCTGCCGGCCCATTTATGTTGGATAACCAAAACTCTACTGTACACATAACAGAAAATATCCCAACCTAGCTGGGAACTCTTTGTTGTAGGCCAAATAAATCTTCTACAGGAATTCCACAAACAACATCCTTTTGATTGCATTCCTTATAGAAATGCAATGTTTTGTGTTTTTTTAAAAAAAAAAACCTCAGTGCAACTAGGACTATTGTATTCAGATTTGGCGCAGTCTCAAAGGATGATGGGAATTGCAGTCCCACAATATTTGGAGGTTGGCAACACATTCATTGCTCCCTTCATTCTCCTAAGCTGGCAGTTCAGAGACAGGATATCTTTCAGGGGCCAAATGTATCTACTGCCAGCACTGATCCATGACTAGCAGCCCTAAGTGTCAAGGAGGAATCTGGAAGTTGCAGCCCAGCAAAGTAATTTTCCCAAGCTTTGGTAGCACTGGTTTTCATTGTAAAAAGAAAATCCTTTACAGAAGATTAATTCTCACCTGCAAAGAAGTACAGTAGAGTCTCGTTTATTCAACTTTCACTCATATATTCTGTATTGTCCAACGCCATCTGCTTCCCACCAAGATCCACAGCTGTTACAATACATTGCGATGTTTTGGTGCTAAATTCATAAATACAGTAGTTATTACATAACGTTAACATGTATTGAACTGCTTTTTCTGTCAATTTGATGTAAAATATGGTATTTTGGTGTTTAATTTGTAAAATCATAACATAATTTGATATTTAATAGGCTTTTCCTTAATCCCTGCTTATTATCCAACATTTTTGCTTATCCCACATTCTGCTGGTCCATTTATGTTGGATAAGCAAGACTCTGCTGTAACCTCTTTTTGTTTGTGTGTAAATGGACCCCAGAGAAGAATTAACTTTCCAATATGTTATGTATATATTTCCAATGCACCAAAAGCTCAATTACTACCCAGTTAAATTCTACTGGAGAGTCTACTTTCCATGAAGCTTTCAAAATTTGCTGAAACATGAAGAATATCTGTTGATGTTCATGGTTTATTTCAGTGACTGCAAGCAATTTCAAACTTCAGCCAAGTTTGGTGTACAATTTGTTTCGAAGTAGAATAATACATCAAAAAACTCATAATTTTGTTCTGGAATGTGCCGTTTTAATGGGAGCACATTATTAAATAACAAAAATGAATGCTCTCTGTTAAGGGCTGTGCTGGGCACTACATGATATGGCTCCATTTCAATAACAAAGTGTGTAATTTCCAGCTGCAATGAATCAGAAATGGCTCCATTTAATTCCATTCTGCTCTACTGGAAGAGGAAGAGCGCAGCAGACAAAAGCTGGAATTAAGGTTAATGTATTCAGTGAACGAGAAAAACACGTATCAGGGCCTAAATCAGACTGATGGCCCTGACAAGGGTAGATGTATTGAATCAATAGACTTTTTGTAAGTGTTGTCTTACCATTCACCAATTAATTTAATAGATACACTGTAGCTGAGACTGGCAATTGGATTTATATTGAGATCTGGATGAGACTGAAACATTATAAGATGTTTTACCCCTAGGTTCACACTTCCACGTTGTTATTCTTTTACTGGAGTTAGCAGGAAGAGGCGAGCTATTGCCCTGCAAAGTTTCTAGTCTGATCCACAGACTAAATCCAAACTAATCACAAGTCACAGCAAGAGCCAACGTAGTATTACAGTTATACCTTAATGAAGCAGTTGTGTTTTAATGTGACTTTAACAGAAAATTTGGGATCAGAGGCAGAAATAAAATGGAAAGAATGGGGATAGGTCTTCCTACACCACAAAACAGAGTAGATCAGCATGTTCCAACAAACCTTTATTCCAAACAACCAGGTCAGATAAGCCTTGCATAAGTCAACAAAACATTTGGAACATTCTAGCGACCGCTTGTGGGCTTCTTGCACAAGGCATATGCAGGTTGGTTAAGAGTTTTGTAAGGATCAACATTAGAACATTCTAATGGGTCCAGTCATAAAACAGAAAACCAAACAAAAAAAACCTCACAACCTCTAAGGATGCCTGCCATAGATGCAGGCGAAATGTCAGTAGAGAATGCTTCTGGAACATGGTCATACAGCCCGGAAAACTCACAACCTGTATGACTACCATTGTTTGGTTTTCTGTTTTATAAATGGATCCATTAGAAAATGCACATGGATGTGGGTGAAGTGCAACTCCCATCATTCTGGGTGAATCTCCCCCCCCCCCCAAAAAAAACCCCTGCCAGTATTTGAAGTTTGTCATGATGGGTGTGTGTGCCATATTTGGTACAGATCCATCATTGGTGAGATTCATAGTGCACTTTGCATATGAGTGAACTATTAACTCCTATCATCCTCTGTCATCCCCCAACCAGTCCTTAAAGTTTGTTATGGGTCGTCTGTGTGCCAAGTTTATTACAGATCTATTGTTGACAGGCGTCATAGGGCTCTCTGGATGTGGGAGCCATCTTGAAAAAATACATATGAACAAATATAGAAACATACATACACACATTTTAACTTTTACAACTATATCATATATATATAATTCATAAATATATATCCACAATTTATTATTTCCATTTTGATAGCCATATGTATGTATGTATGTATGTATGTATAGATACGTGTGTCCGTTTTGACCATGCTGGTGAGGCAAGCTTATCCGTGTTCCTTTTCCTCTAGTTTTACTGTTAATTCATGTTCAGTAATGGATTCTAGAAGTAGCTGCTGTTTACCCTGCATGTTGTAGGCAGACCCACAGCTATAGTACGCACAATGCAGTAATGCAGAATCTCAGTCTTCCTGAGCTCAAGCTTTGTTTGTTGCATTTGTTACTTCAGATGAGCAGCTGCAAATCAACAGCAAAAATCTGCATTTCTCCAGTCATCTCCTAATATCAAGGCTGCAAAAATATTTCCAGTTAGACAAGAGAAAAGGAGTAAAGTAAAGGACAAAGTCATAAAAGGACTTTGTGAGAAGGAGCTATGTTATCAAAGGCTTTGTTAACTGAAGTATCTGTAGATTGCAAGAGTGTTTCATGAAAAATAATGTAATGTGGTGATATTGATGTACTACCTTCCTATTAGGTTGCTACCATTCTAGAGATCTTTGCTTGACTGGGCTAAGACACCATGTTGTCTGACACACCGCTCACCTTCACTGCAGAACTATAGCAGTTTGATGCCATTTCTGTTGTAGTTTCATCCTACTGAATCCTGAGATTTGTCAATAGAAAAGGATAAATACTTCACAAAAGTGCAAATCCCAGAAATCCATAACATTGAGCCATGAAATGACTATGGTTCTGCAGCATGGATACAGCCACCAAGGATAAGGCCAACACAAACCATATTCTATATACAGATGCCACCTGGTTTGGCTGAACCTTGCTTCAGTATTGACCACTGGAACCACTACCAAGGATGACTGGATAGCTTTAAGAATATAAGGTATGGGTTGCATCCACTTGCTGCTACTCCCTGCCTTGGAGCATCTAATATCTGGAACAACTGCCTCTTCAAAATGATAGGACAACTGCTAACCCCTTTGTAGTGCTGTAGCATTGCTCTTCTACAACCAACTGAAATTACAATGACAATTTTACCTAACATATTACATCTACAGTACCATATTATGACAATTCTTGTGTGTAGCAAAATTATGTATACAGTATAGACTCAAGGAGACCACAAGGGTCATCTAGACAATTCCAAGTTATGGAGGATGGGGCTGTATCTCCAAAGTAAGCCGGCCTGTAAGCTAGGCCACTGTGTGGCTTGTGAATAAGGAGGCTCTTTCATAAGTGGATAGCAGATGCCCCCTGCTTCAAACATCTAAAAACTGCAATTACCAACATAACTCAGCATTATTCTAGCATGAGGCCCCAGTAGGATTCTGACCAAGAGGTATGTTGACTGGGAGATTCCGGGAGTTGGATATTGAAACCTCCCAACTTATTTTAAGATACCTTGAGGAGGTAATACTGCAGCTAACATTGTTAAATCAGCCCTTTTACTACACCTTGAACCAGAGCAATTATGTAATGCCTAAGAGTGCATCTACACAGAAGAATTAATGTAGTGTCACAGATTAATGGCTCAATGCTGTGGAATCATGATAGCCGTATTTTTAGGGTTTTTCAACCACAAACATCTAATTACAACTCCCATGATTCCATAGCATTGGCCCATGGCAGTTACTATGGTATCAAACTGCATTCATTCTACACTAGAAATGCACCCTAAAAGTGTCATTTCGTCTGCAAAGATGGCCTTAATATTTTGCTGTGATTCAGCTTTTCACAATTAAAACTTGTGTGCTAACTGCCCCCATACCTTGAGAAGCCAGACTTGGTCATGGTGGTCCACGCCTTGGTTACATCCCACTTAGATTACTGTAACGGGCTCTATGTGGGGCTGCCCTTGAAGAGTGCCCAGAAACTTCCAAAGAGCTGCAGCCAGGTTACTTACAGGTGCTGGACCCAGAGAGTGGACAACCCTTCTGCTACAGCACCTGCACTGGATGCCAATTTGTTTCTGAGCCCAATTCAAGGCACTGGTTTTAACTTTTAAAGCCCTAAACGGTTCAGGTCCAACTTACTTATCCCACCACATCGCCTCATATC